CATTATTCCACCCCCCAGTTAACTAACGAGGCCGGGGGAACAGCTCTCTCTAGTCCGTTATCCCGTCCCCAGTCAGCTAACTATTCTAGAGCACCTCCAGAGTTCCTAAGGCAACCTCTCTCGTTCAACACCTTGTAACCTAGGTATTTGACTACTTAGGTGCTAAGACTACAAGGCGCCGTCACTTGATCCGCTTACCCGAAACTCCAGAGAGAACTCTAAAATACAGAATCATTGCCACAAACGTATAAGAGAAAACGAAAGGAAAGAAATGAATAGTGAAGTAATTAGTGAGGGTTTGGGGTGAGAGGCAGAGAGGTCGGAGGAGCGAGGAGGGTCATTATTTGAAAGTGAGAGTTTAGAGAGGGGTGGAGGGAGAGGTGTAGATAGGTAGAAGTAGAATAGTAGATAGTTGAAGTAGAAGAGTAGATAGTAGAAGACGAAATGCTGCCACCATCCATTCATGATCATTACATACAAGACAAGGAATGGAACTTGTCTGTATCACAATATTCATCAAAGATGTTATCAAGAGATCATTATTAGTATGGTCCCATCTTTATCATGTACTCATTCTTAACCATGAAACCAGTAACCACAGATGCTTTCTCACCTCAACTCAAAATCTCTAGGGAACAAAATAAAGTCCATTTAAATAATAAATTCAACAATTATATTTTTCATGATAAGTATCATAACTTAAGCAATCCAATTAAAATGTTAAAGATTAATATTCAAAGTGAGTCATCCTCCAAGAATCTGAGAACACTACAACTGACTGCCCCTGATCTTCACACAACACTTGTAAAACACGACCAAGTCACCTTACTGCTCAACTCACCAAGTGTGTGCCTATAGCTGGATAGAGAGGGGGGGGGGGGTCTGTAGTTGACGGAGACTCCCGCCCTGGCAAGTTTGAAGGCTACCAGGCTCCAGTTAAGAGATTAGTAGAAGTAAGGTGAAATTCGCATGATCTGACCTCAGGTCACTTGGGGTCATTAACGCTTAGAGGTGTGAGTTTCAGGCCGACAAACTGGCGCCTCTCAGATCCTTGTCTCCGACTCGTGTATTTCTATGTATATTTTACATAAACTAAACCAAACACTTTTACAGTGTTACACTTCACCTGCCCCCCTCACTTGCCCCCTTCACCTGCCCCCTTCACCTGCCCCCTCACCTGCCCCCCTCACCTGCCCCCTTCACCTGCCCCCTTCACCTGCCCCCTTCACCTGCCCCCTTCACCTGCCCCCTTCACCTGCCCCCTTCACCTGCCCCCTCACCAGCCCCCTCACCTGCCCCCTCACCTGCCCCCTCACCTGCCCCCTCACCTGCCCCCTCACCTGCCCCCTCACCTGCCCCCTCACCTAGCCCCAGCAGACCCCTGGGGACAGGCAATAGCGGTGCTGTGATCGGCCAGTTTTTGCGGCTACACTCTGGGTTTATACAGCGTGTGTCGACCGCCTTAGTGGAGCAGGCGGCTCCTGTCTCCTCTCTTCCTCTCCTGTCTTCCTCTCCTGTCTTCCTCTCCTGTCTTCCTCTCCTGTCTTCCTCTCCTGTCTTCCTCTCCTGTCTTCCTCTTCTGTCTTCCTCTCCTGTCTTCCTCTCCTGTCTTGTCTCTTCCTCTTCTGTCTCCTAACCCAGCCACTTGGACTGAACGGTAGAGCGACGGTCTCGGTTCATGCAGGTCGGCGTTCAATTCCCGACCGTCCACAAGGTTGTTGGGTTCCCTCCGTCCCATTACAAATCCTGATCCTGATCCCCCTCCCCAGTGCTATATAGTCGTAATGTCTTGGTGCTTTCCCCTGATAGAAAGGAAATGTAAAGTGTACGTTGTTGTACAGGTGTTGTACAGGTGTTGTACCATGGGTATCTGCATTAATGTTTAATCTTTTATACCAATATAGTTGATTTGGGCAGCGTCACTCATCCTGTGAGTAGACACACCGCCATAGTGACAGTATTGGGCAGCGCCACTCATCCTGTGAGTAGACACACCGCCATAGTGACAGTATTGGGCAGCGCCACTCATCCTGTGAGTGGACACACCACCATAGTGACAGTATTGGGCAGCGTCACTCATCCTGTGAGTGTACACACCGCCATAGTGACAGTATTGGGCAGCGCCACTCATCCTGTGAGTGTACACACCGCCATAGTGACAGTATTGGGCAGCGTCACTCATCCTGTGAGTGGACACACCGCCATAGTGACAGTATTGGGCAGTGCCACTCATCCTGTGAGTAGACACACCGCCATAGTGACAGTATTGGGCAGCGCCACTCATCCTGTGAGTGGACACACCACCATAGTGACAGTATTGGGCAGTGCCACTCATCCTGTGAGTGAACACACCGCCATAGTGACAGTATTGGGCAGCGTCACTCATCCTGTGAGTGGACACACCGCCATAGTGACAGTATTGGGCAGCGTCACTCAACCTTCATAGCAGCATATGCTGTCAAACCAAAAGTGCTGATAGGTATATTCATCCTGTCATATGGACAGAGAGACCGTCTCTCTCTCTCTCTCTCTCTCTCCATGACAGTCGCATCAAGAACTGCTCCTACTCGCTATACGGGGCTTCGAACCCTCGACAAAAAAGCCCCACGCCCGTAAACCCATGAATGAATTGCTTGTGCACTCATGAGGGCGATGTTCCTGCACTCTTCCCCATTCCCCAGCGTGCGCGAGAGTGCACATTACATCCCAGGTGCCCATCAGATGACGCGCGCGGGTCTGGGCACGCTTTAAATGTCCCGCCACAGCCAATGAGGGCAGCGGCCGCGGCGGGAGGAGGACTTTGTGGTGCCCTTGGGGGGCCCCGAGGAATGTGTGGTGCCCTTGGGGGGCCCGGAGGAATGTGTGGTGCCCTTGGGGGGCCCCGAGGAATGTGTGGTGCCCTTGGGGGGCCCCGAGGAATGTGTGGTGCCCTTGGGGGGCCCGAGGAGTGTGTGGTGCCCTTGGGGGCCCCGAGGAGTGTGTGGTGCCCTTGGGGGGCCCCGAGGAATGTGTGGTGCCCTTGGGGGGCCCGGAGGAATGTGTGGTGCCCTTGGGGGGCCCCGAGGAATGTGTGGTGCCCTTGGGGGGCCCGGAGGAATGTGTGGTGCCCTTGGGGGGGCCCTCGAGTCGACGCCCTCACACTTGACTCAGGAGAAGATGCTTCCTGTGTGTTCCTTCCAAGCGGCGCGTTGTGTAGACACCTGTGTGGTCGTGCTCACGCTCCAAGCTGGTCCTTAGTCTCCTCCGTGCCCCTTAGCTTCCTTGGTGCCCTTAGCGTCCTGTGCCCTTAGCTTCCTGGTGCCCCTTAGCTTCCTGGTGCCCTTAGCGTCCTGTGCCCTTAGCTTCCTGGTGCCCTTAGTGTCCTGGTGCCCTTAGCGTCCTGGTGCCCTTAGCTTCCTGGTGCCCTTAATGTCCTGGTGCCCTTAGCGTCCTGGTGCCCTTAGCGTCCTGGTGCCCTTAGCGTCCTGGTGCCCTTAGCGTCCTGGTGCCCTTAGCGTCCTGCTGCCCTTAGCGTCCTGGTGCCCTTAGCTTCCTGGTGCCCTTAGCTTCCTGGTGCCCTTAGCTTCCTGGTGCCCTTAGCTTCCTGGTGCCCTTAGCTTCCTGGTGCCCTTAGCGTCCTGGTGCCCTTAGCGTCCTGGTGCCCTTAGCTTCCTGGTGCCCTTAGCTCCTGGTGCCCTTAATGTCCTGGTGCCCTTAGCGTCCTGGTGCCCTTAGCGTCCTGGTGCCCTTAGCGTCCTGGTGCCCTTAGCGTCCTGGTGCCCTTAGCGTCCTGGTGCCCTTAGCGTCCTGGTGCCCTTAGCGTCCTGGTGCCCTTAGCTTCCTGGTGCCCTTAGCGTCCTGGTGCCCTTAGCGTCCTGGTGCCCTTAGCTTCCTGGTGCCCTTAGCTTCCTGGTGCCCTTAGCTTCCTGGTGCCCTTAGCGTCCTGGTGCCCTTAGCGTCCTGGTGCCCTTAGCGTCCTGGTGCCCTTAGCGTCCTGGTGCCCTTAGCTTCGTGGTGCCCTTAGCTTCGTGGTGCCCTTAGCTTCGTGGTGCCCTTAGCTTCGTGGTGCCCTTAGCTTCGTGGTGCCCTTAGCTTCGTGGTGCCCTTAGCTTCGTGGTGCCCTTAGCTTCCTTGTGCCCTTAGCTTCCTTGTGCCCTTAGTGTCCTGGTACCCTTAGCTTCGTGGTGTCCTTAGCTTCCAGGTGCCCTTAGCTTCCTGGTGCCCTTAATGTCCTGGTGCCCTTAGCTTCCTGGTGCCTTAGCTTCCTAGTGCCCTTAGCTTCCTGGTGCCCTTAGTGTCCTGGTGCCCTTAGCTTCCTGGTGCCCTTAGCTTCCTGGTGCCCTTAGTGTCCTGGTGTCCTTAGCTTCCTAGTGCCCTTAGCTTCCAGGTGCCCTTAGCTTCCTGGTGCCCTTAACTTCCTGGTGCCCTTAGCTTCCTTGTGCCCTCAGCTTCCTTGCGCCCTCAGCTTCCTGGTGCCCTTAGCTTCCTGGTGCCCTTAGCTTCCTGGTGCACTTAGTGTCCTGGTGCCCTTAGCTTCCTGGTGCCCTTAGCTTCCTGGTGCCCTTAGCTTCCTGGTGCCCTTAGCTTCCTTGTGCCCTTAGCTTCCTGGTGCACTTAGTGTCCTGGTGCCCTTAGCTTCCTGGTGCCCTTAGCTTCCTGGTGCCCTTAGCTTCCTTGTGCCCTTAGCTTCCTGGTGCACTTAGTGTCCTGGTGCCCTTAGCTTCCTGGTGCCCTTAGCTTCCTGGTGCCCTTAGCTTCCTTGTGCCCTTAGCTTCCTGGTGCACTTAGTGTCCTGGTGCACTTAGTGTCCTGGTGCCCTTAGCTTCCTGTGCCCTTAGCTTCCTGGTGCCCTTAGCTTCCTTGTGCCCTTAGCTTCCTGGTGCCCTTAGCTTCCTTGTGCCCTTAGCTTCCTGGTGCACTTAGTGTCCTGGTGCCCTTAGCTTCCTGGTGCCCTTAGCTTCCTGGTGCCCTTAGCTTCCTTGTGCCCTTAGCTTCCTGGTGCCCTTAGCTTCCTGGTGCCCTTAGCTTCCTGATGTTCCTGGCCTCGTGATGTTCCTGGCCTCGTGATGTTCCTCGCCGCCTGATGTTCCTGGCCTCCTGATGTTCCTGACCTCCTGATGTTCCTGGCCTCCTGATGTTCCTGGCCTCCTGATGTTCCTGGCCTCGTGATGTTCCTGGTTCCTGGCCTCGTGATGTTCCTGGCCTCGTGATGTTCCTGGCCTCCTGATGTTCCTGGCCTCCTGATGTTCCTGACCTCCTGATGTTCCTGGCCTCGTGATGTTCCTGGCCTCCAGATGTTCCTGGCCTCCAGATGTTCCTGGCCTCGTGATGTTCCTGGCCTCCTGATGTTCCTGGCCTCGTGATGTTCCTGGCCTCCTGATGTTCCTGGCCTCCTGATGTTCCTGGCCTCCTGATGTTCCTGGCCTCGTGATGTTCCTGGCCTCGTGATGTTCCTGGCCTCCTGATGTTCCTGGCCTCCTGATGTTCCTGGCCTCCTGATGTTCCTGGCCTCGTGATGTTCCTGGCCTCGTGATGTTCCTGGCCTCGTGATGTTCCTGGCCTCGTGATGTTCCTGGCCTCCTGATGTTCCTGGCCTCCTGATGTTCCTGGCCTCGTGATGTTCCTGGCCTCGTGATGTTCCTGGCCTCGTGATGTTCCTGGCCTCGTGATGTTCCTGGCCTCGTGATGTTCCTGGCCTCGTGATGTTCCTGGCCGCCTGATGTTCCTGGCCTCCTGATGTTCCTGGCCTCCTGATGTTCCTGGCCTCGTGATGTTCCTGGCCTCGTGATGTTCCTGGCCTCCTGATGTTCCTGGCCGCCTGATGTTCCTGGCCGCCTGATGTTCCTGGCCGCCTGATGTTCCTGGCCTCCTGATGTTCCTGGCCTCCTGATGTTCCTGGCCTCCTGATGTTCCTGGCCTCCTGATGTTCCTGGCCTCCTGATGTTCCTGGCCTCCTGATGTTCCTGGCCTCCTGATGTTCCTGGCCTCCTGATGTTCCTGGCCTCGTGATGTTCCTGGCCTCGTGATGTTCCTGGCCTCGTGATGTTCCTGGCCGCCTGATGTCCCTGGCCGCCTGATGTTCCTGGCCGCCTGATGTCCCTGGCCGCCTGATGTCCCTGGCCGCCTGATGTTCCTGGCCTCCTGATGTTCCTGGCCTCCTGATGTTCCTGGCCGCCTGATGTTCCTGGCCTCGTGATGTTCCTGGCCTCCTGAGGCTGTCTACTCACTCCTACATAAGACAACTTGACAAGTCTTGACTGAGGGGTAATCAGCACGTTTAGAAGTCTTCACCAAAAAGTCTTATTAACTTGACTGTCCAGCCGTCAATCAATCCCTAAGTCCCTTGGCAGAAGTCTATGACAGGCACAGGAGTGACTGTCAAGAGTGACAGGCACTTTTGACAGTCTCTGGCATGTGCCCATCATCCCGTCACCTCGGATGGGACAGTCAATTGACGGCCCTCGCTCGCTTCTGATTGGTTCAGATAGTTTCTCCTTCTGTGGGGCGCTTGACAGCTGAGTGGACAGCAGGCTTCAGATTCGTAGTCCTGAGTTTCCGGGTTCGATCCCCGGTGGAGGCGGAGACAAATGGGCAGTTTCTTTTCATTCTGATGCCTCTGTTTACCTAGCAGTAAATAGGTGCCTGAGATTTAGACAGCTGCTACGGGCTGCTTCCTGGGGATGTGTAACAAAATGGAGGCCTGGTCGAGGACCGGGCCGCGAGGATGCTGAGCCCCGATATCATCTCAAGATAACCTCTCCTCCACTTTCCCGTCTACAGCTGTCATCTGGTGACGTACATCATCCTAAACCCCCCCCCCCTGTCTCTCTCTCCTCCCTGTCACTCCTCCCTGTCTCTCCCGCTTCCCTGTCCCTCTTCCTTTCCCTCTTTCTGTCCCTCTTCCTTTCCCTCTTTCTGTCCCTCTTCCTGTCCCTCTTCCTGTCCCTCTTTCTGTCCCTCTTCCTGTCCCTCTTTCTGTCCCTCTTCCTGTCCCTCTTCCTGTCCCTCCCCCTGTCCCACCCCCTGTCCCCCCTCCCCCTCCGATTTCTTGACTACCGTCAGTCTCCGGGATGCAGAAAATGATGCATAAATGCCAGAGGTCGAGGGTGGGCGTGGGTGGTCGAGGGTGGGCGTGGGTGGTCGAGCGTGGGCGTGGGTGGTCGAGGATGGGCGTGGGTGGTCGAGGGTGGGCGTGGGTGGTCGAGCGTGGGTGGTCGAGCGTGGGCGTGGGTGGTCGAGCGTGGGTGGTCGAGCGTGGGCGTGGGTGGTCGAGGGTGGACGTGGGTGGTCGAGCGTGGGTGGTCGAGCGTGGGCGTGGGTGGTCGAGCGTGGGCGTGGGTGGTCGAGGGTGGGCGTGGGTGGTCGAGCATGGGCGTGGGTGGTCAAGCGTGGGTGGCCGAGCATGGGCGTGGGTGGTCAAGGGTGGGCGTGGGTGGTCGACCGTGGGCGTGGGTGGTCGAGGGTGGGCGTGGGTGGTCGAGCGTGGGCGTGGGTGGTCGAGCGTGGGCGTGGGTGGTCGAGGGTGGGCGTGGTCGAGGGTGGGCGTGAGTGGTCGACCGTGGGCGTGGGTGGACGACCGTGGGCGTGGGTGGTCGGGCGTGGGTGGTCGAGGGTGGGCGTGGGTGGTCGAGCGTGGGTGGCTGAGCGTGGGCGTGGGTAATCGAGGGTGGGCGTGGGTGGTCGTGCGTTGGCGTAGTTGGTCGGGCGTGGGTGGTCGAGCGTGGGCGTGGATGGTCGAGGGTGGGCGTGGGTGGTCGAGGGTGGGCGTGGGTGGTCGAGGGTGGGCGTGGGTGGGCGAGGGTGGGCGTGGGTGGGCGAGGGTGGGCGTAGGTAGTCGAGGGTGGGCGAGGATGGGCGTGGGTAGTCGACCGTGGGTGTGGGTGGTCGAGTGTGGGCGTGGGTGGTCGAGGGTGGTCGAGGGTGGGCGTGGATAGTCGAACATGGGCGTGGGTGGTCGAGCGTGGGCGTGGGTGGTCGAGGGTGGGCGTGGATGGTCGAGGGTGGGCGAGGGTGGGAGTGGGTAGTCGACCGTGGGCGTGGGTGGTCGAAGGTGGGCGTGAGTGGTCGAGGGTGGGCGTGGGTGGTCGAGCGTGGGCGTGAGTGGTCGAGCGTGGGCGTGGGTGGTCGAGCGTGGTCGAGGGTGGGCGTGGGTGGTCGAGGGTGGGCGTGGGTGATCGAGGGTGGGCGTGGGTGGTCGAGCGTGGGCGTGGGTAGTCGAGCGTGGGCGTGGGTGGTGAAGCGTGGGCGTGGGTGGTCGAGGGTGGTCGAACGTGGGCGTGGGTGGTCGAGCGTAGACTTGGGTGGTCGAGCGTGGGCGTGGACGGTCGAGCACGGGCGTGGACGGTCAAGCGTGGGCGTGGGTAGTCGAGGGTGGGCGTGGGTGGTCGAGCGTGGGCGTGGGTAGTCGAGGGTGGGCGTGGGTGGTGAAGCGTGGGCGTGGGTGGTGGAGCGTGGGCGTGGGTGGCCAAGCGTGGGCGTGGGTGGTCGAGGGTGGGCGTGGGTGGTCAAGCGTGGGCTTGGGTGGCCGAGCGTGGGCGGTCAAGCGTGGGCGTGGGTAGTCGAGGGTGGGCGAGCGAGGGCGTGGGTGGTCGAGGGTGGTCGAGCGGAGGCATGGGTGGTCGAGCGTGGGTGGTCGAGCGGGGGCGTGGGTGGTCGAGCGTGGGCGTGGGTAGTAGAGGGTGGGCGTGGGTAGTCGAGGGTGGGCGTGGGTGGTCAAGCGTGGGCGTGGGTGGTCAAGCGTGGGCGTGGGCGGTCAAGCGTGGGTTTGGGTGGTGAAGCGTGGGCGTGGGTAATCAAGCTTCGGCGTGGGTGGTCGAGCGTGGGCGTGGGTGGTCAAGCGTGGGCGTGTGTGATCAAGCTTCGGCGTTGGTGGTCAAATGTGGGCGTGGGTGGTCGAGCGTGGACGTGGGTGGGCGTGGGTGGTCGACCGTGTGCGTGGGTGGACGAGCGTGGGCGTGGGTAGTCGAGGGTGGGCGTGGGTGGTCGACCATGGGCGTGGGTAGTCGAGGGTGGGCGTGGGTAGTCGAGGGTGTGCGTGGGTGGTCGGACTAGAGCAGGTGGGGCAGGTGGTGGGTGAGGTAAGAGGCAGGTGGTGGTGGGACAGGTGGTCCCAGCGACCAGGCGACCAAGCAGCAGCTGTTGCTTCAGCTAGACATTCTTAATGAACTGGCATATACACCTGGGATACAGCTGGGATACACCAGGGATATAGCTTGGATACACCAGGGATATAGCTTGGATACACCAGGGATACAGCTGGGATACACCTGGGATACACCTGGAATACACCTGGGATACAGCAGGGAGACCTGGTTCAAGACAGTCACACCTCATACATAGAAAACGGCATGCGAGGGAACACATAGAAGACGACCTTCACTGAGTGGACACACCGCCATAGTGACAGTACTGGGCAGCGCCACTCATCCTGTGAGTGGACACACCGCCATAGTGACAGTATTGGGCAGTGCCACTCATCCTGTGAGTGGACACACCACCATAGTGACAGTATTGGGCAGCGCCACTCATCCTGTGAGTGGACACACCGCCATAGTGACAGTATCGGGCAGCGCCACTCATCCTGTGAGTGGACACACCGCCATAGTGACAGTATTGGGCAGCGCCACTCATCCTGTGAGTGGACACACCGCCATAGTGACCGTATTGGGCAGCGCCACTCATCCTGTGAGTGGACACACCGCCATAGTGACAGTATTGGGCAGCGCCACTCATCCTGTGAGTGAATACACCGCCATAGTGACCGTATTGGGCAGCGCCACTCATCCTGTGAGTTGACACACCGCCATAGTGACAGTATTGGGCAGCGTCACTCATCCTGTGAGTGGACACACCGCCATAGTGACAGTATTGGGCAGCGCCACTCATCCTGTGAGTGAACACACCACCATAGTGACAGTATTGGGCAGCGCCACTCATCCTGTGAGTGGACACACCGCCATAGTGACAGTATTGGGCAGCGCCACTCATCCTGTGAGTGGACACACCGCCATAGTGACAGTATTGGGCAGCGTCACTCATCCTGTGAGTGGACACACCGCCATAGTGACAGTATTGGGCAGCGTCACTCATCCTGTGAGTGGACACACCGCCATAGTGACAGTATTGGGCAGCGCCACTTATCCTGTGAGTGGACACACCGCCACAGTGACAGTATTGGGCAGCGTCACTCACACTGTGAGATCTGCCGTCACACTGTGAGGGCTGATGTTACACTGTGAGGTCTACCGTCACACTGTGAGGGCTGCCGTCACACTGTCAGGGCTGATGTTACACTGTGAGGTCTACCGTTACACTGTGAGATATGCTGTCACACTGTGAGGGCTGATGTTACACTGTGAGGTCTACCGTCACACTGTGAGGTCTGCCGTCACACTGTGAGGGCTGACGTCACACTGTGAGGTCTACCGTCACACTGTGAGGGCTGACGTCACACTGTGAGGGCTGACGTCACACTGTGAGGGCTGACGTCACACTGTGAGGGCCGCCGTCACACTGTGAGGGCCGCCGTCACACTGTGTGGGCTGCCGTCACACTGTGAGGACCGCCGTCACACTGTGAGGGCCCCCGTCACACTGTGAGGACCGCCGTCACACTGTGAGGACCGCCGTCACACTGTGAGGACCGCCGTCACACTGTGAGGACCGCCGTCACACTGTGAGGACCGCCGTCACACTGTGAGGACCGCCGTCACACTGTGAGGACCGCCGTCACACTGTGAGGACCGCCGTCACACTGTGAGGACCGCCGTCACACTGTGAGGACCGCCGTCACACTGTGAGGACCGCCGTCACACTGTGAGGACCGCCGTCACACTGTGAGGACCGCCGTCACACTGTGAGGACCGCCGTCACACTGTGAGGACCGCCGTCACACTGTGAGGACCGCCGTCACACTGTGAGGACCGCCGTCACACTGTGAGGACCGCCGTCACACTGTGAGGACCGCCGTCACACTGTGAGGACCGCCGTCACACTGTGAGTACCGCCGTCACACTGTGAGGACCGCCGTCACACTGTGAGGACTGCCGTCACACAGTGAGGACCGCCGTCACACTGTGAGGACCGCCGTCACACTGTGAGGGCCCCCGTCACACTGTGAGGGCCCCCGTCACACTGTGAGGGCCCCCGTCACACTGTGAGGGCCCCCGTCACACTGTGAGGGCTACCGTCACACTGTGTGGGCTGCCGTCACACTGTGAGGACCGCCGTCACACTGTGAGGACCGCCGTCACACTGTGAGGGCCCCCGTCACACTGTGAGGACCGCCGTCACACTGTGAGGGCTGACGTCACACTGTGAGGGCCCCCGTCACACTGTGAGGGCCCCCGTCACACTGTGAGGGCCCCCGTCACACTGTGAGGGCCCCCGTCACACTGTGAGGGCCCCCGTCACACTGTGAGGACCGCCGTCACACTGTGAGGGCCCCCGTCACACTGTGAGGACCGCCGTCACACTTTGAGGACCGCCGTCACACTTTGAGGACCGCCGTCACACTGTGAGGACCGCCGTCACACTGTGAGGGCTGACGTCACACTGTGAGGGCCCCCGTCACACTGTGAGGGCCCCCGTCACACTGTGAGGGCCGCCGTCACACTGTGAGGACCGCCGTCACACTGTGAGGGCCCCCGTCACACTGTGAGGGCCACCGTCACACTGTGAGGGCTGCCGTCACACTGTGAGGGCCTCCGTCACACTGTGAGGGCTACCGTCACACTGTGTGGGCTGCCGTCACACTGTGAGGGCCTCCGTCACACTGTGAGGGCTGACGTCACACTGTGAGGGCTACCGTCACACTGTGAGGGCTACCGTCACACTGTGAGGTCTGACGTCAGGACTGACATCAAGTATCATAACTACTAAACCATGGAACAACCTCGAAGGAGCTGTCACAACTTGGTGTGAAAGACTACAAGAGTATTTGGTTACTCCCCGGGCGAGAGCCGGGTACCAGGAGCTGCAGATCGACCGTCGTTATGAAGCCTTGTGCTTATTTATGCAAACCTCTGCGCGAGGTCTCCCAATTAGCACAATTATCACCAATTATTTGGCCTGCTTTAATGAGACCTATTTAGTAAAGCAAATCAAGGGGTCTTGTTTTATTAATTAAAAAAAAAGGTCTGTTTTTTATCCACATCTCAGTTTTCACCCAAATAAAAAAAATTTTTTATTATTATTATTTTTTTACTACCACAGACGTGGCCAGACATTTACAATGCTAACCAGCATATATATACATTTTCTTCTGTCCTCCATGGACAGAAGAAAAGAAGAAATTGTATAGTGCTTTTACAATGCTTATCTAACATACAGACAGATGCAAAGGCAGGAGTTTCTAGGGGGGATGGGTGCGCCCCCTCCCCAGGGAGCACGCGCGCACGCACGCAC